TCCATTACCAGCTATTGATCTTTTTATCTTTGTTCCGCACTTTATGAATTTAAATAATCATTCATAATTGCATATCCAAAACTGCAAGGAATGTTTTCGAAAATCTGTTCTGACGATAACACGTCTACAACAATCGAACAATTAAATTCTTTGATATTATGGCTGAATTCAATCTTAGATAATAGAAATAAAATATAAATAATGTGAATTGCAATTATGTTAGTTTTGTTGCCCAAACCTGGGGCCGGCGGTCTCACAATGGCCGGATTTAAAAGACAAATCAACATTAATGGTAATCGTTTTAAATATGCATTTGTGTACGGGATTGTAATACGAAGGATCCGTGGAATACACAAGTTCGCCCCATCTTTATGTATATGTATCACATATAAGCATAAAATAAGAGTTAGGTGCGCGATAGCTTTTTTAATTTTGTCCGCCCACCGCAAAATGATCTCCAATCAATACTAACGCATACGTTGCTGCGGACTATAGGCAGAATTTACTCTAGTGTTATGCGTTGTTATATATTGGCGAATATCTCGGAAACTAAAACATGTGTAGACATGTGTAGATTACATGTGTAGAGAACAGCTGTTTGAGATCATGCTCTACACAACATATAAAAAAATCATGGGAATTCAAGACGGCGTCAGCTTTCTAAATAGTTATCAAAACTTTTAATATCATGCAGGGTGTCCAGCTCCAGGAGTTAAAAGATTTAAGGAGCGACTTTTGAAGCTAAAATAGAACGAGAATTATGAATAAAAAATACTGTGTTTGCGGCTTTCTTTATTAACAATAAAAAATTGGCTGCAATATTCCTACGCGCGAGCAAACCTCCCTACACGAATGAAAGTAGGGCAGCTCGAGCATCGAGGAGCACAGTGATCCTCGGCTCGAATGACATATGAACAGCAGCTTACCTCATACAAGTCGCAGAGAAAAAAACTATGCCATTCGGAGAGCAAAACGATCCTGTGTGATATTTTGTAAGAAAAATCGTAGATTTAAGATTAAACCTGCTTACTTCATTATGAAACGCACAACAACATGCAGACAACCACCCTATGGAATTTCCGAATAGATGTGATCCGAATTAATATTTCCCCTAATCCCTATCTCCATAAATAATTAATAAACAAAAGCATATAGTAAGAATATATATATATATATAATATATTACATTATTATATTCTATATATTATATATACTATATTATTATATTATATACAATATACTATATAATGAGGTGCTACTGAATGTGTTTGTACACAGTTTTGCATAAACCACATGCAATTTCCATACAAATGTAACTAAAAAATGGCCATTGCCCATTATAATATTCACATACATACGTATGAAATAAGAAATGAAGAAACAAAAGGAGCTACAAAAAACTTATTAACTAAGACATTGTTTTAAGGAATAAAGTATATAAATATAACAAAATAATAAAATAATATAAATTAATATACAGTCAAATGAGAAATTACACTTATCGCATTGAATAAATAGTTTTCGCTTTCATTGCCGAAATGATACTAGCCTTGCAAGATTATTCTAATCGTTTCTAAACACAGCTGGTGAGCAACCTTTTGATTTTCTCAATAGCCATACCCATGCATTTAAAAAGGAGATCCTCAGATATTGTGACTGTTAATTTCTGTTCCCGATTAATTTCGAGTTATACAAAGGAAACGATAGCATTAACGAACGGTATCGTAAATTTTTCTTTTAGAAAGTTAATTGTAGTTTTAGTATAAATCAAAGTTATTCCTTTTAGTCCTTTTTACTTTTTGAACTTTTTCATTATTAATCATGTTTGCAGAAAAATTGGCTATATACACATTTACTGTAATATAGAACGACTACTATTTCTGTTACGATTTTTCTGTGGATATTCACGGACGACACATTCGCAGGGCGTGTGTGGACCTTATATAAATATTGTTAGTATGTGCTTTTGTTTATTAATTATTTATGAAGGGAGAGGATTGAAGGAATTTATTACATTAATACCTTCTACTCAGAAATTCCATAGGGGATTTTCGATGTGCTATTATGGATTCTGATGAGTAGGCAGATTTAACGTTTAATCTACCATTTTTTTTACAAAATATCGTATGGGATCATTTTCGTCTCCGAATGCGATAGTGTTTCTCTCTGTGATTTGTACGAAGTAAGTTGAGTATTGTTGTCCGTGTGTCGTTCGGTTTGAGGATTATTGCACTCCCCGGTGCTCGAGCTGTCGTACTCTCTCTCTTATTCGTGTAGGGAGGGTTACTCGCGCACAGGAATATTACAGCCGATTTTCTATTGTTAAGAAAAAAAAGTCGAAAGCGCAATTTTTCCTAATTTTTGTCTTATTTTGTCTTTAAAAATCGTGCTTTAGATTTTTTTTACATCTGTGTCCGAATTTGTAAAATTGTGAAATGTAATTTGTTATAAATTGAATTCTACTTATACAGAAGTTGCTAATATAACCGTATCCATCACAGTAGTCGTCGTTGTTGTCTATCGAATAGCTGATGATACAATAACGATATCAGCATTAGTATCTATAGAGTGTCTCACGTTAAATAAGTTATTGCAACTTCGGTTGCTTGGAGGATGTTTTATATGCTATTTACTTATTTCTTAAGGTGATTAAATAATCAATTGCCGGCCGGCTGTTTTAATACTACCGGATTAATACTACTATTCTCACCCATCCCAGCTTTGAAACTAACGTTGAGTGACAGAATATTTTTGTGTGTGTAAACTCAAAACTCAAAAACTCAAAAACTAAGTCCGGGTGCTGGTTATATCGTTAAATGTTATATGTTATATATGGTATATAACTCTCAACTCAAATATCGATCTTACGACTAATTTTGTACGGTGGCGTGTGAGAGTACGAGGTTCGAGATAATCCTAACCGAGTTGAGGTGAGACTTTTGGCCATGCTCTTTCATTTGCGAAAGGCTGTTAGGACGATGGAGTAGAACGACTGCCCGCTTCACAGTTTTCAACATGCGCCGATCATTTTCTTGGAAGTATTCCTTTCGTCCAACATCTAAGTGAAATATTACATTTCCTTGGGTTTTGCACTTCCGCTCTCGATTCAGCTCGGCCATCGCTTAAGTCATTCTCTCGATATCCACCTATTGCAACGTAGGTGGAACATCCTATAGATACTGAAGCCGATATCGTTATTCTATCCCCGGTTATTCAATAAGCAGAATTCAGTGGATGGTACTAGAATTTTTCTATTAATATCTCAGAAACCAATAAATACCTGAAGCTAAAATTTTATGTTTGGGGTTCATCTCCATCCTCCACTCATATCAAATTTCATCATCGGTACCTTTTGGAACTACAGCTGCAATGTTCACGAGTGTGCGACGCTTTTACTCGAAATATAAAGCCGTCGAATTTTTTGCATAGACTCACCTCTGTAAAGTAGCAAGTATATTGTATGTAAATGCCGGTATCTTGACTTTAGAGTCCTCCAATGTCAGAAAATCTGTTATTTATTAAATATAATTAGAAATCAGTATCAGTAGAAATGACTATAAATCAGCCTCGAAAATTTGGATTAATTAATAACTTTTGTTTATTATACATATTATACATGTATTATACAAATTACATGTTATTGATGATATACTTCATTAGTATATAACTCCTAATATATATGTATATGTCACATTACCACAAAAGCATATCACAAAAATAGCAAAATAGCTATAATATAAACAAATAAAGCAAACTCTAGTAAATATAACCATATTAAATTTACGCTACGAAAACGGAAATCACCAAATACGCAATTGAATGGCACGCACATAACACAAACAAGGCAAGTTAAATACTAGGACTCCACTTAGCACACAACTTACATGGAAGCGACATACTAAATCAATTATAGACAAAATACGGATAAAAAGAAGACAGATGTACTGGCGAAACTATAAACTCAGCATGGAAAATAAACAAAAAATTTACAAAACGATAATAAAACCAATTTGCACGTACGGAATACCATTATGGGGGACAGCAGCAATGAGCCACATAGACAAACTAGAGTCGCTACAATCGAAGATACTCAGAATGAAGAAATTGGCAGGTACACAGTAAAATACAAGGAAAGAATCGCAACATATCTAAACCAGTTGGCTGTCGAAGAGAGCAAAATTCTCATAAAAAGAAGACTAAAGAGAAAACACCCCACTGACCTAAAGAAGTAAAATAGACAAACTCGAAGATGATATCTCGCTGGGGGTAGCCATCCACATGTTATTTAGCGATAAAGCTAGAAAAATTTACCGAATATCCAGCTGGACAAATTGTAAAGTACAAATTAAATAATAAAAATAAAAAAATAAAATAAATATATGTATATAGTGGAAGGCAAACGATTTATCCTGAAAGTACTATCGAAATTTAAAAAATGAAATATTAGAATCTCTTTGCAAAGTATGTAGTTCAATTTTTAAGTTAACTGCCATTGGATTATGAATCAAGTGATTAGCCGCAATAATTCATTGGCTATTAGTGACATTTGTAGTATTCCAAGTTTATTTTAGACATATAAACATTTTATACTACTGCATTTTGCAAATAAATTTTCTTTGTGTAGACGGCAGCTTGGTTTGAGAGATAGGAATTGGGGAGAACGTAATCGTCGACGATCTGTATAGCTCACAATTAATTGGGGAAAAACCTGCCATACACACAAAACGCGCGCACACACACGCGCGCACGCACGTACACTAAATAAAAGACGAATACAAATAAAAGTAAAGGCGTGAAACACGACTGCACACGTGGGCCAAGTGCAATACCTATAACTGAGTTTAGTAAATGGGTTTCTTTGTTTATATCAAACCAGTTCTATGTAAAGACTGTACCCTTCTTTCTTGAAATAAATGCATTTTCAAGGAAAAATAGGGAAACACCCGCCCAGCAAGCGGATTATCGCGGTTCGAATCCCGATTTCTATCTATATTTAATTTGATTTTATCTCAATTTTTCACTTTCATATTGTTTTAATATACCTTTTCTTTGTTGCAATTTCTAGCCACGGATGGGCGGTAACAAATTATATGTTTCACAACTTAACGAAGCATTACATATCGACACCCATTCTGAACCAATACCGTAAGTTTCTTTAAAAAATTCCAAATAAATTTAAATCTCCATGTTCAAAAAGTTACTCGTTTTAATCGGCAAAAATATTTAGGAAGAAAATTTGTTTTTAAACAAAATTACTTCGCTGTTAACATCACCCTATTATTGAAAAAATTCAAGTTGTACATATTATTTACTTGATATTTCAAAATATATTTCAGTTCTTCATAGTATTATTAGATAAACTTCTATATCAAACAAAAACAAAAATAACAAATAAGAAACTCCAGTTCCGATGTCAATAAGATTGTGTATTTTGATCTTTTCCTTCACATTTGACAGTAGAATTACAAATTGAATTTGTCTTTTATACAACCTTCGTCTTAATACCTCAAACATATCGTGTTTTTTAGTTTCGTGTATGATATATTTCATCGTGTATGATAACATGTAGATATTCCATATCTGTTTCTTTAAATGTTGATAAGACATCTTTTAAATTCGAAATGGCAATAAACATAATCGTATTAAACAGACATTTAATCTGTCTATTAAAAACTATGACGAGTACTATATTTTGTGTGCTTTATGTATTTTATATGCAATTTGTGCATTTTAGTCTAATTTTTAAATTTCGCATAGATACATAAAAATTTATAGTCTACTTATCAAATAGACTTCTATTTGATGGAATCAGTAAATATTTCAGTATTTCCAAATATCTTTTCAGATACCGAGCTCTCTACAATTACAAACCACAGAACGAAGATGAGCTCGATTTAAAGGAAGGTGATACGGTGTATGTGATGGAGAAATGTGACGATGGTTGGTATGTTGGTTCCAGTCAAAGGACTGGTTACTTTGGCACATTTCCCGGAAATTACGTGGAACGGTTGTGAGAAATGACAACAAGCGATATCGAACCGCCGTCGTTTACCTTTTACCAAAGCACTAAAAAATCGAATCGTTAATAATAATAAGTTTTAAACGTTAACGATAAAGTTCAACGATACTCTTGTCACTACGGTCTTTTCCTATTCGTAAATTTTCAACGCTAACGGAAACATAATATATAAGATAAAAAAGAAAGAATCAAGAATGAACGCATAAATATATACAAAAAAAAAGACATGAGCTGATCGAAACTTTATCGTCGGATTCACGAAAAATTCATGGAAAATGAAATCTAAACTTAAGGCCTCATAACATATATGTAGTGTATAATAATATTTAGTAATTTACTATACAACATTCATAAGAAGCGAGTGCGTCAGGACGACGTTACGAGAACATCGAAGTAGAAAATGAACATGATAAGATTGGGAATGTTTTATCCGCGTATCTTTATCTAGATCCACGAGTTATCAAGCCGGATCTGTTCGTGTGAACGAAATAATGTATAAATAACATGCAACTTTTCACAAACCCAAATCCATCGAATCTACTGTTCGTTAAAACGGGATCATTGCGAAGGTTATACTTGACAGGTCGACACGAGGAGTTTTTATCAAGCCTATGTAACTTTTGTGTAATTATAAAACAAGATCCTCCTATCGGGAGGACTATCTGGTTTCAGTAACGAACGTAATTATTCGTATTAGCCGTTTAACTGATCAAGCGACAATCGTATTGTATAGTTTCTGTCTACTTACAGAGAGATGTTTGAGATCAAATGTCTACTGTAATGTAGAAAAGATATCTTGTGTAAAAAAAAAAAAAATATATATATATATATTAAATTGAATATAGTTCCCGGATATTAATTCTCAACTGGTACAGTTGGGTTGTAGCCAATTTACAGTTTCAGTTGGATCATTTCATCATAGAGTACTTTATTTCAATATACTGAGATCGTTTACAGAGTTTTTATGATATAAGATATAGGACACAAATTAAAATAAAATACCTTAATTCTTTCAAAATATAGTTGTCTAGAAAATAATCATCAAGATTTCTCGTATTTCTCAGATATAGAGAAATATTTATTTTTAGTTTATAAAATTTCAGTAAATTCTAATAATTACTTTATCAAGCTTTCTTGTGTTTCTGACGTCAAATTTAATTTTTTAAACTTCAGTACATTTTAATAATTATATCATCAAAATTTTGTGTACTCCTGATATCAAATATAAAAGATATATATTCCTTACAGCTTTTCAAAATTTCCAAAAAAAGTTTTTAATAATTACGTTATGTATGATTATATATATATATATATATATATATATATATATATATATATATATATATATATATATATATATATATATATATATATATATATATATATATATATATATATATATATATATATATATATATATATATATATATATATATATATATATATATATATATATATATATATATATATATATATATATATATATATATATATATATATATATATATATATATATATATATATATATATATATATATATATATATATATATATATATATATATATATATATATATATATATATATATATATATATATATATATATATATATATATATATATATATATATATATATATATATATATATATATATATATATATATATATATATATATATATATATATATATATATATATATATATATATATATATATATATATATATATATATATATATATATATATATATATATATATATATATATATATATATATATATATATATATATATATATATATATATATATATATATATATATATATATATATATATATATATATATATATATATATATATATATATATATATATATATATATATATATATATATATATATATATATAATTGACAACTTTCTGCGTTGCTTGTATTTTTCTTATATTACATTTTTAAAGAATTAAAATTAAGTGATCTACGCATGTTTTAAATCTACCCTCAACTATTACGGTAATATATCATTCAAAGACATCAGTTATGAATTGTGTAATCCATTTTGCATTTTTTCATATAATGGAATTTTTAAAATAGATTATATACTGATAACAGATCACAAATTAAAGTGAAAAAAGATTAAGGAGAATTCGACAATGTAAAAATAAATATGAATTGCCGCTTGGTCAAAAACATTCTGGAAAGCGACGATGATGCTTCAAAGTTTATTGGATTACGACATTAAACATGAAATTAAACCGAAAGATTCTGTTTTACCTCCGTTATACTTTTGGTTATACAGCATTTTCTGTGACACGTAAATAAACAAGATGACTACGGTGAGCAAAGAATTTCCATTAAACTTTGCTAACAGCAAATTAAATTTGCGATGTTAAAGAGTCTCTGGAACAACGCAATACTATCACGGCAAAGTTTTTTTATGTTAAAAATGTTTAAAACTTTATCTATGAAATTTTTACTACAAAATTTTCATTGCGAAATTTTCACTTCTAATCTACTTCACGTCAAATCTACCCTATCAAATTGCATAAAATATTACTAATTATATAAATTTTATAAATTATACAAATTACAACATACGTAAATTCTGTTCTGCGACTGTAAATCACGAAAGAAAAGATATTCACCGCCGAAAAGGAGACTAAAAATTTGCAATTTTAGCGGAAGATTTTCGCATCATTTCAGAAATGATATAAACGAACGGAGAACCCGCTAAGTTCATTATAGTAAATTTACAGCCAAAAATAATGTTCGCTGCCACAAAAAATATTTTACATCGGTTTGGGAAATCCGTTAAAATGCAAATATCTCTTTGCCGTTAGTGAAATTACGAATTTTTAGCCTATATTTTAAAACGGTTTTGAAACTAACCAAAGATAAACGTTTTGAGTAATTTGATCTCGACCCAAGTACATAAGTAAAGTTTATGACGAACCTAGTGCGAGGTTTGTCTTGCTTCGACGACGTGTTCACGATGCGAAGCGTAACAGCCAGTTTAGACGATACGGTATTTTGATCGATTTCTTGATTTTACTTTCTTTGTTTATCTATTTCACAGTATGGATATGAATACGTTTTCTGCCATGTTTCGATATTACAGTGGTCAGAGAAAAAGGAGCATCAGAAGATATTGGATACATCCTGTTGTGAAAGATAGGTATCAATTGGATTCCTATCAGATTCTCATGTTTCTATTAAGTACAGAAGAAATGAAATTTTCGTATGTCAATGTCTATAACTATGAGACTAGCATCAATCACGAATAGAAAGTTATGGCATGGTTAAGGACAGTTTTTAATTGTTAGTATACAATCATTATATACATTATACATATTATATATAACCTAATTTTTAAAATTGCATAAAACACTACATTAAACATTACACTGAACACTAATTTTTGTTAACCCTCTGCTTGCATTAACCCTCTGCTTGCAGTATGGTTTTTCGAGCCCCAGACGAAAATGTCAATCTTCGTGGTTACTGCATCTAAAAAAGCTTGCAACTACAAGGTCTTGACTACGCAAACACTGTTTACTTCATTCGATTCAGTTCTGAATACCATGAGAGTAAAATGAGCATTATACTTTCAGTGAACCATATTGCCATCCACATCAGTCTTTTGCTAAGTGAATCTTCTTAAATGCGTAATTATTTTTTATTTTGTTACATATATCAATTTCTTGGTGACCACCTTTTTTTTTATTTAAGATGTTTATTAAACTCAAGATACAAATTTTTTAAATACCTTTTGGTGTTCACAATAAACGGTGAATTTTTGTAGTGGCGTTTTAGGCAAAAGTACCGATACGCGACGGTACGACGTAGCCATGTTATAATATGTGTCGGCGCTTTACATTTTTCGTGTTTAATATGATTATTAGGTTTAAGCCGCTGGGAGAGCGGAGCTTCTGTGTGATTTTGTTTTTGTTTGTTTTTTCTGTCCTGAAAACTTGGTTGCAAAACAGGACGCTTCGGTAGCTCGCTTTTCTTGGTGACCACCTCAGTGTCTTGTATGACTCCTATATTTTTCATACATTAGTACGACATATGAAACCTTCTTTTTTCGACGCGTGTCTCATATCATTTTTCAATAATAAATAATCTACACAAAAATCCCGCAAATTTAGATCTCAAAATAATTATACTATTCTAAGACTGATAAATTTCTTTTTCGAAATATGGGTAGGTCTTATGGGTAGGATCCAACAATATTATCTTTTAAATATTTGTTTAATACGGAACTGTATACCTTGAAATAAATTCCCATTTTTTCATAACTTCCATTAACATAATTTAGATTTAGACATTTGGCTAAAGTATCCTTTGTATAATAAACTAAGGATTATAATAAGTACTTGAGAATTTTGTCAGATTTTTTTGAAATGCAAAACAATAAAAAACCAGATTTGACTGAAAGAGCTGATCGCGTTAGTATAGGCCATGTTGCGAGCGGAGGGTTAAGTGCAAATATTGAAATTAGAAATGAACTAGATCCTTAAATGATAATAATTTTTAAATTATCGATGATCGAATTCTGACAGGGTCATTATGTGCTATAATTTTTTCGTTCATAAGATTCATTTGCTGATTATTTAGAAGGATTAAATGATAGATACGTGGCTTATGATAGAACAGTGATTATATTCATATGTGCATTTTCATAGCTTTCTTTGTTAAGTTCATAAACTCTCGCTTGAAATTCTAAAATTTCATCATTGTTGAATATATGTAATGATGGCAAAAGACATTTAAAAAATCTTGACAAAAAAATATGACAAATCTTTTTTTCATTTCTGGGAAAATTTATTTTTCTGATCTATTAATTTCATCATAATCTTCTTCTAATGAATTACATATTTCCCGACTACATCTTTTAGATTTTTATCTTTATATAAATCTGTTCTTTTATCTCATCTAGTGTGTCTTCGTTCCACCAACGAAATTCAAAATTCCCTATTCATTTTTGCCATTTTCCACATTTTGGACACACTTTATACTATACCATGATTCTTCTACAAGTACGAAAAGAAGGAAAAAAACACGTATCCACGACACACGTACGTAACGTACACGTAAACACGTATCCGTAAACACAAAAACACGACAAAACCAAATATCGAGAGCGAGTGCGCTAATACACAAACAAGCAATCGGCAAATGTATTAGTGACAGCTATACCGAATACATTAATTCATATGTTTGGAAGCTGAACGTGCGGCTAAAATATAGAAATGTGTGAATGCTGCTAGATATTGCAAAAAACCACATTGTCCGAACTGGCTGTAGTTAGTACGTAATCTTTACTGAGGATTGCTGCGGGAACGTGAAATTTTCCAAAATTAATGAATTTGAAACCGAGAGTTGATTTTCAATTCGAGGAAGGCATGAGAATTTCCTTCTATGTTTGTAGATAAATCAGTCGTGTTGTTGTTACATTCGTGAGTATCCAAGAGTAAGCGATTTATAATTGAAAGTTTGCCTTCCCAAAATAATATTTTTGTAAACATTATTTGTACTCAGAGTTATATATACATATATACATGTAAATTAATTATATAATGTATAGAAGATATATCTATATACATATGTATACATAGTTACAATATCACACGCATATATAAAGAGTATATAAGATAATTAACAACATAGTTAATCGCGCACGTGTTAAGATGCACACACGTAATGTTCACAAAAGAACGAGTCGTGTTAACCCCTATAATTAATTAGTCGTAGCTAAAAGATTTCCACTGATGTCATACACAAATACGAGATTCTACGATTTTCGAGAACGTTTCGTCATGACGTTCTAAGA